ATATCACCGAGTCGGCCGGACACGAGAATTTATGAACATCTCATCAGCCGATGCATCACCGAGGCCGGCATTTTCAAGCCGAATCGTTTTCAGCTTGGCCTTTAATTTAGCAGCCAAGCAGAGGCAGACCAGGCAGAACTTGCAGTTCAAATTTTCATGATCCGAGACAACATCGGTCAAACCAGCATTGATTAGTAAATTTTAACAAGAGTTGCGATAGGTGTAACTGACTTGTGGGATTCAAACCCAGGGCATACATACACAACGTACCCTCCCAGCATAACCACGAAGCCAAGCCAACGTTGGAAGACGATCGCGGCCAGTATCTTTTACCTGCCTGCAATTTGAACCCGGGCGTCCAAGCTCGGCACTTTGTAAGTCACCCGTTCTCGGCATAAGACAACTAAGACAACTACCCGTTCTTGGGACTTTGGATGTTACAAGCCTTGGATTAGTAAATTTTAGCCAGCGTTACAAAAAGGCCGTCTTCGCTCTATGTGACTTCTGGGATTTGAACCCAGGGCATACCTCCCAGCTCAACCACTAAGCCAAGTCAGCACTGCAAGAGGAAGTTGGTCAGTATCTTTTAGCTGACGACCATGTCACTCTAATATAGTAGTAAGTAAAAAACTGTTTAGGATGAACAGCATGACTTGTTAGGGATTTGAACCCAGGGCATACATAGATACAATGCGTACACCTCCCACCTTGACCACTGAGCCAAGTCAATGATCCACCTGGCCTGAAAGCTCGGCACTTTGTAACTTACCCAGCGTAAGACAACTAACCTGGGTCTGNCAGCTCGGTAAGAATTGATTAGTAAATTTTAGCCAGAGTTACAAAAACGAAAGAGTGGAATGGTTGTAAGGGATTTTTGGATTTGACCCAGGGCATACATACACTCGGTACCCCTTCAGGCTTAACCATTAAGGCAAAGCAACCGGTGGAAGACATTGTTGGTCGGTATCTTTTAAGTAACTGCTGACCATGTCATTCTAATAGCAGCAAGTAAAAAATTTGTTTAGGATTAAAACCGGCATACATAGGTCAGTCAGTATCTTTTACCTGCAGTAAGTAAAAAACTTTTCAAAACGCGAATCTATGACTTGTTCGGGATTTGAACCCAGGGCATACATACATATACTACGTACACCTCCCAGCTTAACTACTAGGCCAAGCCAACGTTGAAGACAATGTCGGTCAGTATCTTTTACCTGCCGACCATGTCACTCTAATAGCAGCAGTTAAAAGGACAAATTCTGTGCAGTGACTTGTTCGGGGGGTGAACCCGGTGTATAAGACAACCCGGTGCCTGGCCAAGTCCGGCAAAAAAATGTAACTTAGCTGACGACCATGTCGAATACTTGTTCGGGTGCGATTGAACCCAGTCCTATAAACTCAGCACTGACTTGTTCGGCATTTAAACTACAGTTCAAGCTGGGCCCGGACATGAGACCAATTGGAGTACGAAATCAAGAATTCACCCCTTATCCCAGATTTACCAACAATCTTTGGAAGCCAGCATGGTCTAATGGTAGTTGGCTTCCGGGTTCAATCCCCGGCCATGCTTATGTTTATGACTCTTTCAACTCTTTTTTGCAATTTGGCCTCGAGGCCTGTGCCGCCATCATTTATGCTTCTGATATAGGGTTGCATCGAGGGTTGTAATTTAACCTGAAAACATCCGTGTTTCCCCTTTAAAAACCCTCTCGCATTTCAAGGACCCATCTTCACCCCCCTCATCTGTGACATGAATAACTTCACCCCCATGACAATCTGGAGTCTGTTGGGTATCCCTCCACCCAACCCCTACCCTGTAGGTTCTGTACATCTCCATTGGTCGTAACCAGCTGATGATTCGTCAGAAAGGAACCCGAGTCTGGTATAATATGAGTAGCGGTGGCCTCATGTTTGCAACCGTAGACTCCACCGGCAGGTTGCCAGACGTGAGCAATCCCCTTTGTACTTCCTTTTTCCCACTAACATGGTGATTAGGGGACGATACTCTTGACCATCATCGATGACGACGGCGAGAGGGTTACCTTACCGTACGTCCTTTTTACTCTATCCAAACCCCCATTCAAACCCCCGCACAGAGTAAGTCTTCTACTTGGTGAGGATTCAAAAATCTGACTGCCAGCAAGTTACAAACAATGATGTCCAAACTGTCCAAACTCCATCTACTTAATAGTTAGTAGCATACATGTATATTTTTTGGACAATCTACAATTTTTTTTTGGGCATATTTAATATGAAGTCCTGTGGTGGACATAATAATGAAAGCAGTAAGAAAGCGGGGGGATCTTGGAGCAACTTTGTCCAATGGAGACCGGCATAGTAACAGCTTGGCGTTTATTTCAGGCAGCCGAGTGTGGTTGTTTGAGCCAGACCCGTTCCAACATGGGTATGTTTACAAGAAACATTGGTCGGTATAAACTTGGTAGGGATTTTGAACCGGGGGTGTGCATAATATATTTCACTGCCTTGTGAACGTCACCGTGCTCAGCTTCTTGGGAAGTCATGGACCCAGTAAACTGCATGACCGAATACTGGACCATGACCGGCAA